CTGGGCTAGACATTACTGGAAAGTGCTTTAGAGTAAATTGTGGAAAGCTGGGTGACTCTGGACTCTGAAATATGAAGGAAAATAATGGGATGCCTCATGAAGTACAGAGTCACCACGCGGAGAGGGACAGGGGAGAAACTGAAAAGGTTGTTCAAGCACTCTGATATTTCCAGTACCCAGCTGGCACCGTACAGCGTTGTCACAGTATTATTAACCTTATTGCCTATACTGTACTTTATGTGCCCATGGCCATTTGCTAACATTGGGAGGAACACTTTGTGGAGTATATGATTATCTAACCACTATGCTGTATACCTGAACCCGATGTAAAATAATATTGAAAGTAAACTGTAGTTTAAAAATGTTAAATAAAAGTATTTTAAAAGGCACTGCCATTTCCCTACAGGAGACAGTTAAGGCGCACACACAGGCAATCGTTGAATAACTACAACCCAAAGGGGAGAAGCAGGGCATGACTGAGCAGTCTCTACCTGATCTCCCTGCTGCCCACGTTGCCCCGGTGAATGATTCCTCCCACTGTGACCAGGGATCTCCCTCAAACGCAGGCCTGATTAACACTCCTCTACTGAAATGTCTTCAAGAACGAATCCAAATTCCTCGCTGTGCTACCTATGCAAGGATTATCATCTCTCTCCTTTTCCAACACACACTTTATTCTCTAATAATGCTGACCTGTATGAAGATTCTCCCCAACTCAACCTTTGAGATGTTGAGCATGCTATTTCTCTTTCCTAGAATGTCGTATGCCACCATCTTCCCTTTTCCTCCTAATTCCCATTCCTTCCTTCTTTCATCTAACACAGTGGTTCCCAACCTTTTTTTGGCCATGCCCCACCTAAGCATTTCTAAAATCCACCCCTCCCCCCCCATGACATAGAATTCTTATTATCCAAAAAGCGAACCCCTATTCCCGCGAAGGGAGCCCAAATTAGGCCATTCACTCGCGTCCGAAGAACACGGCAAACACGATAGAGAGAAAAAAAAATATATACAAGAACGAAAGGACGTTGGATGTGCCCGGGGAAGGAATCTCTAGGACATTGTTTTTAAAAAATGATAATAATACGAAGGGATGTGAAAAAATGGCCAATAAGACGGATAGCGGAGAACTGAGATGCATCAATAGGTCGCACGACAGTTACATCCTGTGTACGCGGCCCCGAGGGCCGTGGCCGGCAAACTGCGGCTCCGGAGCCACATGCGGCTCTCGGGCCCCTGGAGTGTGGCTCTTCCTAAGCCTTCGGCGTCCCCTCATGAAGTGAATAACAAT